AGTATCAGCTTAGGAAGTTATTAACAAATAAATTGTGGGAAAATTTTAGCTGCGAATGGTACTTTTTGTTATAAATAACCGAAAATTTATTTTAGTTTTAGAGAAATAATTACCAATATAAAACAAAATCTTCTATAGATCGGCAGTATAAATGTATATTACTATACGGTTACAGTTTTGACATGATCTAAATTTGGTTTCTAATCGAATACCATAATTCACCCTTTTTTTTAAACATGTCTTTGATTTTCAACCGAACGTAAGTTTGTTTTCTGTTTGTTCTTTCCTTTTTTGGTTCATATCAAATTCGATTTCAGTTTTGTAGATGTATGTACTAAAAATATTCAAATAGATAACATTTTCACCCAAACAAAAATCATCCGGCATTTAATTGGATAAATCAAACTGAAATATATCCGTTTTTTTTAATTTCGAATTTTAAATTCGAATTTTTTCAGTTGCAAGCTAAGCTACATCATTAGTCATACAGCAAATATAATCCTTTTTATTGATTCAATTTAACAACATTTCTCAATCTTTCCAGCAAAACAAAACCATATGACTTTTCTGTCTTCCACAATACAATATTGTTTGCTAATTTGAACAAACAATGTTTTTTTATGTAAAATAATTTCTCAACATTATTTTATTTGTGGATTAGGGTTCACTCAACCTCCTGAGAGAGAGTCGTGTTTCTTTGCAATTTCACCAATCACATTGGCACATAAATTCTCCTTCCCACCATCGGTCAATAACTTCAAAAAACTTCGAATTTCTCTGTTTGATTCCTCTGCTTGATCATCGAACTTCGATTTTTGTTTCTGCTGTTACTGGGTTTTTGATTTTCTCAATAAAAATTTCACCTTTCAATGGGAAAACCAACGGCGAAGAAGAAAGATGCGGTGACGCCAAAGGACGCTGCTTCCGGCGGCGGAAGTAAGTCGGGAAAATCCTACCATCGTTCTGCTTCGAGGGCATTCGACGAAGATATGGAGATTTTCATAAGTCGAGCACTTGAGCTCAAAGAAGAAGGTAACAAGCTTTTCCAGAAACGCGACAACGAAGGAGCGATGTTAAGGTACGACAAAGCCGTGAAGCTATTGCCTAAAGATCATATCGATGTAGCTTATCTGAGAACGAGCATGGCTTCTTGTTATATGCAAATGGGATTAGGTGAGTATCCGAACGCGATTAGCGAATGTAATTTAGCTCTTGAGGCTTCTCCTAGGTACAGTAAGGCTTTACTGAGACGTTCTAGGTGTTACGAGGCTTTGAATAAGCTAGATTACGCGTTTAGGGATGCTCGTATTGTTTTGAATATGGAGCCGGAAAATGTGTCTGCGAACGAAATCTTTGAGAGGGTGAAGAAGGTGTTGGTGGAGAAAGGTGTCGATGTGGATGAAATGGAGAAGAATTTTGTTAATGTGCAGCCTGTTGGCGCAGCTCGTTTA